CGGCTGTTCATTGGTGGTGTCTGATCAATATAGCGTCCCTCATCGACTCGGGGGTCGACGGACGCGAAAGACCATATGGCTTACACTTGAGAGCTCTGGCCTGCGGGCTCCAGTTATTCAGTATGACCTTTAGCCGGTCCTTCGTGGCCTCCAATTGGCTCCTCATCGTCTGTCCCGAGGGGCCCGAGAGGCCCCTGGCCATTCCTGATGCTTCACCGGAAGGCGAACCAAGTGCAGTAAGTCACGACTGTTTTTAAAAGCAACGCCTAGCAATGGCCAATACATGTTGTCGGTCGTGTATGCTCTGTAAATGGGAAGCTCTTACCTGCATAAGGATGGAGTGATCGACAATGACGCCAGCAACATGCAAATACGTGCGCAAGCTAATAACATCCAAGTGCACCGTTGCTATGCAGTATATGCATGTCTCCATAAACCGGACCGCCTGATCTACGTCTTCTCCACATTTGCACTTTCAGTCGCTGTAAATAGCCACGTATGACGCACTTATCAGTGACGTCGTAGGTTGTTACCCCAGTGGACGATGATTGGCTTTGAAGAACGGGCCCTCGGGCGTGTTCCCTGGCGCGTGACCGGCACAACAGAGCCACATGCTAAGGGGCCGCTTCGTCTGGTGTCGGCGCTGTCGGATGCCAAGCAACGACCACCAATAAGATGCCTCCTTGGCGTGGGACGAGCCGGGCGATAGCGAGTGCTGATGTTCTTTCAGAAACCGGTAACAACGGATTTGCTAAATGCGTTGAAGAGTCCATCTGTTTTGAGAATCTAACCGGCAGAGGCCCGCTGGTATAAAATTCGCCTTCTAATATACACACGGCATTGCTTAAAAGGGAACTAGCTGGGAGTCTGGCGAGGCTTGGCAAATTTGAATTCATTTTGTTTGGAATTATGGGCGACATTTTTATTAAAATGCAACTGTTTGTCGTTGGATATTGGTCACAAGCAAAGCGGCAACCCGTGTATTTTTGTGGTTCATTCTCTCAGCTACCACCAGAGCGTCCTGTATTCGAGATTGATTTTAGAAAAGTAGCCATGTCCGCTGTAGATCAGCAGAAAGAGGAAGAAAGGGTAACAAAGACTGGCTTGCCTTGGTAACCCGGTCGATTATTGGTGCTCCTATGGGTTCGGACAGTTTTCAAATATATTGGCGAGTCGTATCCGATACATTGGCATAAACCGTGCTGTTGGTTTCGCGTCTTCATCTGCTCTGGCTGCTGAGACCAGAAATCAGTTCTCAAAGATCACCCAAAATGGGCAGGCCATGTTTGGGTACATGAGTGTCTGACCGTCCTCACCATGGACCCACACTTTTGCCAACACGCCCGTTCTCTCCTCTGTTGTCTCTTAAAGTCTCGTGTTGCCCCGACGCCGGTTTGGTAAGATTTGGACTCGGTTTCGACCCATGTTCTTTGCTATTTGAACTTTTGAAAGCCTAAATTTCGTCATGTTTAAACTGTTTGGGTAGTTGAAACCAAGGTGCCTGCAATGTTGCAGAAACAAATTGACCGATAAAAACTTGCCCTTAAATGCATAGCAATTCATAACTTTTTGTGCTTTCTTTCGCTGAATCTCTACTGAATGAAATGCATGAACCTGCGGCCAGTCATTGAAAAGATGTTACTACCTTCCGGAAAATGTGACGACTGGGAAGATGTCTTGGCCGAGCTGGGTCGCTCAAGTTGAAAATGTTCTCGTAGTTTAAGTATGATTCACTTGGCCGGTAGTAACGCTCGTAACTATTCATAGCACTATTGCACCTCACGTTCAGTCGTCAACGGTCTCAAGTTATTCAACGATGTCCTGGACGAATTGCATGGCATAGCACATACATCGGCGAGGAATACGAGGGGTAGCTGCCTGCTACCAGCCGTTCTCCCAGCTAAAATTTTGTGTGAGCCTTGTATTGGAAAGAAACGGCAGTAAATACCACGCACTCTGTGCCAACTACCTCCACCAACTCAACTATTTGCAGTCTTCTTTGCCACAAGATACATGCAACAGTGCATGACGCATCCATACAGGGTCCCGTCATAGAACAAGGGTAAAACCTAGCATCATGTCGTCGCGTCATCATCGCACGCGCCAAATGTAGGTCTGCTCTGGCAGCTGGCAAAGCATGCAAGTCTTGAAGAGACTGAGCTATCAGTTTTGGGGTGATTTGACACTTACGTTGCGATCAGCTGTACGCTCGATCACTCGATCGTCCAGCTGATACGGGGCTGTTACGTATTACAGCCCGTACGTACGATCACTGTTACGATACGATCAGCTGTTACGGGGCCAGTTGTCACTGGGTCAGGTGCCTGCCCGTTTGAGCTGTCAGCGGCTCAGTTTTACTGGCTCAGTTGCCTCTGTCCTAGTTGGTCCTGTCTCAGTTGTCTGGCTACCGTGGTCCGTACGCAACCCACACCCACGTTTGTTTTTTGTTTTTTGTTTTTGTTTTTGTCCGAAAGAACCCGAACTACATCTCACCATTGTATACCCTGACTGCTCAATTGACATGCCATGCCATGCCCAACTGACGGCAAATGAGCGATGTGAGTAACAGCTGTTGGCGGTCACAGCAATATTGTTCGGCGTATCGCCTTAGTGGTACAGTTGACTAATGCGCGTGCGGTTCCGGTTAAGAGGTTCCTAGGTCCTCGTTCGGGTCGTGTTCGACCGGTTCCCCACACTGACACACGAGCTGACAGTAATGAGGAGTGATCTTCCTCTCGCGGGATCAACGTTGCGTCGGCCAGCAACATCCGCGGCGACGGGCTCGCTGGTACGGTTGGCCTTCTAATAGACCTTTCGGCTTGGCATCATTTTACGTCATCAAGGCAGTCCTCCGTCCACTGTACCCGAGACATCGAGATTGCTCTTTGTTGCTGTTGTTTGCATGCGTATAAAGGTAAGTGCACCAACAGCGAGCCAGTGGACAAGGCTGCACCGCAAGGGTCCCGAAAATAGAAACATTCGCCGTGTACATTTTGCGTCCATGTATATCTATGCGTGCCACTAACTAAGATATAACCCAAAAAACCTCGTGATAGATCATCACAAGCACCTTTTAAGATGACTTATCTTGATAAGCTGGTTACGATGCCCCTTTTAAGAATGACGCCCATCATCGGCCTGTAATCGATCCCCCTCAGTCACAAATGTCTGTTCGTTAAATATCCGCTACGAACAAGGCTTGCGGCCATCTTGTAGGTGACATGGTACAAAATAGAGAGGGAAGCGAAACTGAGACAGTTATGTTTTCAGCAATATGATAAGGCGATTGTGACAGAGAATCCGAATTGACTTGACACATCGTGATGATGAATTGCATTTATGGAAATTCATATTGTCTACTTGTCCTGAACATATCTGCATTCTTTCTGTTCTTTAAGACCAACGTTTAAAAATACATGCAACCCATAACACCATCGCACGTGACTTATATGCTGCAAAATTACAGCAGTAATTTATGCATCCTACTCTTAAATTAAAAAAAATGGACTCAGAGCTAAGACTCTAGGACTCAGGACCCTAGGACTTAGTCCTGAAAGCAGAACATATTATCTTGAGTCGTGTCAGAGTCGCCTCCATTGCACCTGGTGCGGCGTTGACTCCATCTTGTGAGTTGGCTGGAGTCGGGGTCGGAATGGGCTCTGCCGACTGCGACTAGAAGTCAGGGTCGACTCTACTCAACAGAAGTCCAGCGCAGATCTGGACTGCATGCAACTGCACTCCATTCAGCAAGATTGAGAAGCACTCGCAAGGTCCAAGTCGTTTACATCGCCGCAAAGCGAAACCCTTGAATGGCGCTTCAAGTTTGGTCTCGCCAGACCTTTCTGGCATCATGTTTTTCGTCCGTTTTTTTCCCAGCTCATTTCAGCAACGGAGTGGCAATCTGTATCCGTTAGGCATGCATTTCACCCATCTATCCCGGACGAGGGGAGTACCCTCCGTCGATATGTCGGGGCCGGCGAAAACAGCGCAGCTCTCGCCGAGCGACTCTCGTTTGCACGGGGACAGTTCATTACACGTGAAGCACGCGCCGCGGCGTAATGGCCGGTCGCATTTGTCTCCGTAATACCAGGCATGATCGTCCCCTGGAGCTTGCTCTCTGTAATTGTTCTCGACTGTTGTAAAATTATGTGTGACAAGATTGGTGTACTGAGACGAAGTCAGATGGACGGTGGGTGGTTCTGGCTGTTATCTTCTTGCTCAGCTCCACCAGCAGTGATATGCCCGAAGTAATGACGCTGCCCATTTTAGACAAGAGTGCTTGAAAGAACGTCGTTGACTTTTCTTGTGCGTAATCGCGCCGCTGTTCGTGGTGGGCCGATCGTCACTTCATGTTCCTTATATACGGCACTTAAGCCCCCGTATCATCCGATTTCTAAAGATATCATGGTGATAAGCATATCTGAAGCTTTCCGACGTCATCGACGTGGTCCCCGCTGGCGATGTGAGGATCTGACGTCGTACTCAAAGTTTCCTGAGCACGGCAACTTCCGGTCCATTTTACCGTTTCAAGAGCCGACGTCCGTCTTCGTTTTATACTTGTGTGTAAATAAGTCGAAATAGCTCCCGTGCTATTTTTGCACAAGTGAATAGCGGGAGGGGACAAATGTGCCTTAAGCGGCCGTCGCAAACCGGCTAGCGTAAACCTCAACTCAGGATACAACTTAACTCCTTCAGCGACTGATTTTTGAGTCAGTATTAACCTGGCATCTTTCAGCGACGAAACCAGCTTCAGTCGTTGAGACAGAATATTTTGCCGTCGATTATGTGTGTATTTATTGCACATCAACATGACGTGTTGCACTTGCTTTGAGACAGAAACGACAAATAACAATAAAACAGGCCGTCGGGCGTAACTTATGGCACGAACCCTCAGTATAGATATATCTAAATATATATATGTATATATATATATATATATATATATATATATATATATATACATGTACATGTTTAAATAAATCTATGTATGCACATATATATTCATCAATATCGTGTATATGATAGTAGTCGTGTATGTCAAAGCAATTTCAGGCCGGTAAAGTTCCATCAGGTTTTCCTCACCTAAGTTTACCGAACTTGTCAAGCAAAGCAGCAGTCGTGACTGATCTGCATGCTTTGTTCATTGGTTCGATTTCACTTGGGTTGCCTGGGTGAAAACAGAAGAGCAGTTTCCAGCCCCAAAATAACTAGCCTTATCAAGCATTCGACAAGGTGCCAAACTCATACCCAAATCTTCGGGTGTGCAAGCCCATGGGGAGTCATGCACAGTTTTATGAGGTCGGGGTTATCCATCGTTCCCCACTTAAGCACTCTCAGTGACTGTTCAGCACGGCAGTACCTACCCGTGGGTGCTGATGAAAAAAATATTATACGGCCAGTGAAAACAAACCATCCGGTCATGACGTCATTCAATCGTTGCAAGCTGGATGTAGCCATAGGTGGTGGCGCCACACTGCGCGCTGTGCGCTGTAAATGGACAATCAATTTCCGTTGTCATATGGCTCGGGAGTTACATCCTTAATGTAATTTTGGGGGGCGATCAGATGACAGCAGCGATCACAAAACATGTAATTACCTCGCAGTTTGTGCAGTGACGGGATTATCCATCGGGATTATCCACTGTGAATGAATATCCATGAATTTGACAGCACACTATATAGACATGATTTTTTCCGCTGCTGGTGAGATGGAACATTACAGTATCTGCAGATTCTCATGTCATGCCATAGTGCCAACAACATTACCAAACACCTGTGTCCCTTAAGGGTTTCGTCATGCCACGTAAGTATATGGAGATCAACCTCCTCGTCTATGTCAACCAAACTTCTCCTGCCTTGGTCGCAGACATTTTAGGTCATGCAGACCGTCTTTTGCGGTCGCTTCAGTATTTGTGAACGATGTACGTATACATAAAACTACCTTTATTTGCGATAATTCTCAAGATAAATCAATGTGACAAGACAAATATTCACAGCTTGGTGGTCAACCTGCACAACACAGCGAACTAAGTATAGGGCTCAATCCACGATAAAAACAAATATCGACTCAAATGTTGCCAACTTGGTAATCAACATACGCAACAGCCTAGACCTGTGCTCGGTGCGGATATGGAACAGCGCCGGTCACATTTGGCTGTCACCCCTCCAAGTACCGCGAGAGAAAACGGGAAACACTTAAAGACCGGTCACGGTAAGATGAGGTGCAGAGTTTCAATACGCCTCAAAGACACCGGATCTAGAAATACCATGACGGGGCCAAATGAGTAGAGTTGTGGTATAGCCTTCGGATTTATAACGAATCATCTTGTTGTTAGGAATTTGCACTCTATGCCTCATTGGTTCCAGAAACATTGATCTTCAGACGCATTCCAATTGAATCGAGCGCCGTGTGTGCGTACTTCAATCACGGGAGGGCGTTAATCCAAAGCGTTACGCTCGAATACAGGGCGCAAATAGCAATGTTTCAGATGCGCAATCTTTCTTGGGGGAGGACAATCATCGGTTTCAACGACGCGTCTTTGCTGTTTCTGGAATAAATAAATCTAATACGTCCAGCCCGTTAGGGCGAGAAGTCTACCTGACGACAAAGGAGTGACACCTCCAACGTCCCAGCCCGATCGTTTGCTGGCTTCTCCACCCGCTCTGTGCGTGCCTCCGAATGTACAAGGTGGTTTGACGATCAGGCACCGAGCACAAGTCTGCGACAATACACCGAACCAAACTGCAGGGCCTGGCGTTTTATGGTAATCCGAAACATCCTTCAAACAAGCTCGCAGATATCACTGATACATATTGCCGAACACTAAATCGTTCTTTCCCTGGAAATCCGTGTCTTCCATGACCTCTTTCTGGCCCCTGTCGCGCACGTTCGGGAAGAACAGGTACGGAATGATGGCGTCCCGCTCCGGCTCCCTGACGCCGAGACGGCTGGCAAACCCGGCCATGTTGTCAACCTCAGGCCTGCCGGCGAGGGGAACGGCGTCACTGGGATGCCCGTCCTCTAGCGGACGCGGCTGGAACGCACGAACGATTGCTGGACTTCGTATTGCCTCGTTGCGAGGAAGGCTACGATCCAGATAACACTGCAATAATTACAGATCATGGTGGTAGAGCTGCCTAGAAGTTTCGTCGCCCCCCTCCCCCCCCCCAGCCCACCAAACCACGTTCCGACACCGGTTTCTGAGCAAACTAACATCGACCAAGTATATGAGGACAACTGGAAAGCTATCAACCATACCCAAAATACAGACAAGGCCCCCTCCATACGTACATGGACGCGTCGAGTCCGGGCGCTACCCTGGCACGCTGACTGCGCTTGGATGTGAAGAGCGTGAAGCTGCAGCGACAGCCGCCGATCATGCCGCTGAAGCCAGTCGACTTGCAGAAGACCTGGCAGTCGAAGCGCTTGCCGGCGCTCATGCCAAAGCAGACGAACAGGATAGCGGCGCCCAGCAGCAGCACCCCGCCGCGCATTCTGCGTCCTCCCGAGCGGGCCCGACCTGCGAATAGGGCACTGCGCTCAGCACAACCCCACAACGGCGAAATTGGGCGCGAGGGACCCCATCTCCAGGTACAGATAAATCACGTTTACCTGTTGGCCTCGAGGGATGTCGGGCAAGGGCAGAGGCGCAGCGTTGCGTGTGGTTACGCTGTTCACGGCTACACGATCGGCATCCCAGACCGACGCGAGTGAGCTGTTCAACACTGGTGACCTCTGTGACCTCTGTGCGAAAGAGATGTCCGACACATTGCCCGTCCGACAATTCCTGACATTGTCCCAGGAACCTCAGATCGACGCAAGAGGCCCTCTGATTAATGTTTCAGGGGTTCGGTCCGTGCCATGACCTCGAGAGCATTCGAGTAGCTCGGGACCTGCGGGGTGGGAGTAAGACGTGTCTCTTGTGCCCCCTACTTGCGCACCTGGCCATTGATAACAATTAACGAACTAAAATACGCCTGGTTATACGGATCACGACCAACGCTTTTTTGACAATGTTAAAGAGAGGCTCTCTAGGTATTGCATTCGCTTGCTCCTGGCTTTGGTCCAGTTATTCCTATTGCAACAGCCGCTGTACTTAATCTCGCGCTCGGATTCCACGCTCCACGATTCCACGAGAATTCACACGCAACGAAAGATGGTCTCTCTTTTTCGCACATTACTTATGGGGCTGTACCTGCTGAATATAAAGGGAGACGGTGGAAATACATCACTGCTGTTAACCGCTTTGGAAAGCATCGATGCTACCCGCGCCATGCTGACAAGCTGCGCCTTCTGTAGTGCCGTGATGAACATGGCATACCAGTGGAGATTGCCACCGACATCGACCAGCATGTTCGGAGCTAACTTTAATTTCCGGTGGCATGCAGGGAAGACTGGTCCGCATTGAGGAATCAATCGTGTTATTACCTGATGGGAAGATGCCGCTGCGTTAGGGGCGCCTGTCACTTCTCTGCACCGATCTCATGCAGGAGAAGGCCAACCAATCCCAAGACAGCTTTTAGGATCAGTCCATCATGGACTTGTTCTGAAGGGTGGGAGTGTAATGCAAAATAGCGTTGTGTACATAAGCGCACTATATACCTTAAAATGCGCAGCAACCAAAGCCGAGGGCACCAGTATCTGTGCGTGACACGGCACAAAAAGATGGCTAGTTTTGTTTCTCTCGAGTACAGGGGCTGCAGCCGTTTTGTGACTTCTCTCAGGTGGTGGTGTTTCTCTCGGGTACAGAGGCTGCAGCCGTTTTGTGACTTCTCTCGGGTGGTGATGGCGACCTACGCATTACGCCACGCATATCAACTACAGGCGTAACGAGCATTTATACTCCAGTACATGTCGAGCAAACAACCGAAAAAAACAAGATTGCTTTCTGCCGGCTGCATTTTTCTTACGACTGCAGAAGTGTTCTGGTCAGAAGGCAGTATACTGATGCAGTGTCTCTGTGACTCAAGTCCACCTGCTCTTAAACCATGTGTTAATACTGAAATGTTAACACAGCCAGTCTCGGCGTGCTCAACTGATGGAGATAGCAAACGAATCCAAGAGCGTCCACAATCTGTGACGATTTTTTCCGGATGAAAGACTGACAAATGAAACATCCGCAAGAAACGACCAAAATAATCTGAACTCGAATCTTTGGCATTGATAAGCCATTAGCATGAGCACAATTCTGCACCGGCATCAGGCGTGACGTGTCGAAATTCGATGCACTAGCTCGTCACGAATTTCCACCACCATGGTTTTACATCGCAGTCATCATAAATTCACTCCTGGTGAGATAGCAGACCAGGCGACAAGCACCTTATGAACGTTGGCTTGGATGTGTGCGGGTTTACAGCGAATGCGCGTCTTATGCTGCAGATTCCGAGCAGGGTCACAGGGCGCTGGCGGATAAATGCCGTAAAATGTCTGGATATCTGTACTCCTACATTTTCTTTCTAACTACCATGTTGTCGTCCCTAGCCCAAGCTCATTTTCCGCCATGTTGCATCCGTGAAGAATCATCTGTCGTAAATCCACACCGTTTTCTATCTTATGCTCGATTTGGCTCGTACTGGACTGCATTACATTTACTAGTCTCCGAACTGGTCCAGTACGGAACAAAGCATTCAAAGTTTTATAATTGTTAGTTACAGTAGTGCTCTAACGTGTTGCCACCATCGGCTGTGGCTAAATCAAATACTGAACTTGCCGCGAACACAGCCGTTCCACATGGCAAAAGTAGCGAAACAGAATTCCACATAACAACAGAGGCAGATTGTTTCAGTGGTTTTAATCACAAGTTCCGCCCGACCTCTTTGACTGGATGGATTTCTGGGATAAGTGTCCGCGTATGTACTTAACTGACCCTCTTGAAATATATTACTGTGCGCACACTTAGCTCTGAAACGGGAAATGGCTACTCGCAAGACCGTGGGCAGAGCGTGACACAAGGTCAAATAAACAAAAATCGTGTGGCTTTAGCGAACCGGCACGTACTGTCCGTCAAATGCAGCTTTCATACCAATCACACCTGGCCTAAATTTTCAGCAAGAAGCGGCGTAATTTTTGTAAGTTGTGATGTGACATTTTCAAGGGCTTAGACGCAGGTTGTGTTATACGCAGAGTGTTTTTGCAACGTTTTATGTATCAATATCAATCAATATCACGTTTTTTTAGCTCACCATTTCATTGAAACGTTCCGAAACGAAATGTTTAAATCACGACAAAGCTAAAGACCACGGTTTTATAACAGGTCCATATGTCGGCGGCCAAGCGTTGCAGCGAGGTGAGGCTAATTTATTTATGCATCTATTTATTTGGCTCATTGGAGCGTTCATTACCCTAGAATTACCCTGTTAGGCGACATTACCCGGCTCTGGCCGAGCACGTTTAATGTCTTCCGTGCCAAGTATTTAAAGCGAGGTTGGGAAGGCTACCTGCAGCCTGTGAATATAAAACGCTTTTTACGGAAAAGGTGAAAACTGATTATGAATTGCAGTGCACGTACTACGATAAAGTATCCTTACTTGAAGGCCGCACCATAAGCGGTCTTTAGGCGCACACCTGGAAGGATTACGTGAGCTCTGTGGTACTCAAGCAGCGTGCCGTTGAGATGCTTCCATTTCCATCGTGATAAATGGTCGGATCTACTATCTCCGCAACCACCGTAACCATAATATAATCACTGTTAACAAAAATCACCGTTTATCACCCACCTCACCCTCTATTTTTCCTCAGCCAAACAAACAACCTCCGGAATCGGGCGCCCCAGTCATAGCGTACCTGCGTAGTAAAAACGCATAAAATATCCTCCTGCAAAGCTCTTGCCGCTTTCTAAACAACCGCTTATACACTGATATATTATGTGGCTAACTGGCCTGCCTAACAGTATGCAATGCGCGGACAGGAAGCTGCGAAAGTACGATAAGACGTTTTTCCGTCGGGATACGGCAACGGACGTCCTCCCGCGTTGGAAGCGGAAGGAGATGGTAGTCATTTGGATTATTTCTGTCCAGTCAACCCGCTTAGGGCCAACGTTAAATATTTTCAGGCAGGTGTTGGTCTCAGCTCCTACCCCCACTTCCGATTCCCGCGCACCCATGCCTTACGGTGGTGCAGCGAAAGACACATGAGGAATTGGCATGGTTTTGAGCATGTAAGAGAACGCCGGCACCATGCGCATTATTTCTCACCCATCTCCATTCAAGTGTTATTATGATGACTTTACGACCTCGTCCCCGCATAAAAAACTAGTGTCGACGCCCCTAGGCAAGCACGAGATGTCAGCACAGCCCATGATGTGCTGACATCAGGAAAATACCGGATCGGACATGCAGCTGTGACCATGCTCTACGTCCAGTCAGGTTTTTTCTTGATGGCATTAAGCCTGGTGGCGAGTGACTCGGAAGTACCACTTACACAGATCACGTGTAAGAGCCAGATCGTTTGGACATAAAACAGGTTCCCTGGCACCAGCCAGCCCGGTCTTCCGCACGCTAGATTGGTGCTCAAATTGCCGTTCTCCGGAAGCTACACGTGCAGCGAAATCGATGATGTTCTGGATCTTGGACGAGTTCTCGGTGACTGTTTTCCTGCACAGTGAAAAAGCATTTCACATGCAAGAGGGCATGCGTTGCACTAATGGTAAGAAGACAGCTAGGTGAAAGATACTGACCTAACTGAAATACCGATAAGAATGCTAAAACATTCCCGAGGCGGCAGAGAGAGACCTGAGAGTCCCAAGGGGAGAGGTAAAACGACACTCAGATTTCCTGTCTCTGTGGTTGGCAAGAGGAGTGTTCCCGAAATGTCGCAACGAAGGCAGGGAGACCGCACAGGGTGGTGGGCGCTGGGAAGGTGAGTACTGTAAGGAGTCATGTTGCGTAAAAACTTAATGACCCTAGCTTGAGGTCAACTGTGTCGCCCCGGCTGGCCGGTTCGGCGGGCGGCAGGCACGGCGCTGCCTGCACGAATATCTCGTCAACCGTGAGATTTGTGGTTGACGGAAGTAAAATCGGGGTTGGTGGAGCCACTAAAGTGACAGCGCATGTGGCTGCTGTGATACCCAAGCGACATAATTGCCTCACAGCGTCCATGGCATATGAAAAGAGAGTGCTTGATTGCTAGAGGAATGCAGCACTCTGGACATACAGCAGTGACGTCGGGAGCTGAATTATGCGCCCGCTACTCACTTCCATTCATAGTTCTGTAGCGTACGGTGTGTAACGCCTCTACAATGGAAAGTGGCGGCTATTTTGAGACCATTAAGCTGACACCTCAAGCGTTTGACCCAGACTTCGGACGTGTTTCCATGCTCGGCGCGTCAGCTGACAGTGGAAACACGGATCGAGCCTGAGGAAAATGACTGCAGGTCTTTGGGAGGATCTTTTAATCGGGATCCAGGGAGTTTCACAGAATGAAAAAGTGGACGCACTTCTGTGTGCTGGTGGCGTGGCCCTCACTGAGCAACGCCATCCTTGAAACAGATGGCGCTGCTGGCTGCTGCTTTTGAAGAGGTCC